AATATATATTCCTAACTCAGCCCGAATGAAAAGCAAAAGTGTGTATGATATGAAGAACAGACGAGAAGTCAGCAACAGGTGTAAAATTATGATCGCGGGTCGTTCGGGACAAATCATCCACGGATCAAACTCGGACGTGACTTGTCAAAAAATTTGCTCCGGACACTGCTTTTTGTACGTCCCTCGTTGTCACATTGGGGTTTTTTGAAAGCGAATTCTCTACATTTCTTCGCCTCTCTGCATGACTTAGGATCGTAACTCTATTCAAAGGGTGCCAATTCGAGTCAACAATTAATTCATTTTACCAAAACGTAACTGTGCAGTTTTTATCCAGAATTTTCTGATTTTTGTATGATATCTCAGGAAAAATCAGGAAAATGTTCAATTAGAAATGCCCATGATTTTCCTGGATACTATGCTCTTTGTGAGGAGACATTTGGCAATATTGAAATGGAGTTATGTTTTTTCATGGGCGGTACGACGATAAGTGGCCGTCCACGGGATAAGGGACCTTAATCAAGGGTGGATGGTGAATTTTCCAAGAAAAAGATATTGGTGGTAGGAGGAAAAAAATTAGATCTTCGGTTTTTAATGACAGACACCACAAAAAGTTCCAAAAGAATTAGTTGCCAGTGGTTTAGTTCATTTCCTGCAAAATTTAGGGCGTAAAATTACATTATAATCTTGCAATTTTTTACTCTGAACACTTCATGTAAGAATCCGAACTGTCTTTTTCAAAACTACGTTTTTGAACTATAACTAAAGGTCCATATGTCCGGTTTAGTCTCAATATGTTTGTAGAATACTCCTCTATGCTTTGGTAGCAATAACTCTACTTTCTGATTAGCGGACTCAGGACCATAAACTACTAAATACATTTTTAAGCCAAATTTGGCTGGCTGAGCTGCGTAGAACAAGGTAATTGATTGAAAAAATCATCTCCATGTAGTTTAAAATATTACTTGTTTAATTTATTTTTGGCTTGTAGCTCGATTTTTTTAATCAATTTCCGTGTTCTAAACTACTAAATTAGGACACGGGAGCTAAATTAATGAACGAGGAATTCCTCGTAGTCGATCGCACCGTTGCATTTCAATGCAGATGCCTCCATTCAGACGAAAACTTCTTTACATACTTATGTTTGGATATGCATTTTATATAGGAATTTCCAGGGTTCTATAGCAAGATCAAAATAATTTAACGAGCCTACAAGTACGCGCTTTTATACTGGGATAAACATCAGAATTAAAGAATATAATGGTTCAGATCGGGCGATGACAAACATTTTTGTTCGGTGTCAGTTTGAGAAGGAATGCCTCCTCATCTCAGGGTCCATAAAAATTAGGTGAACACTTAAGTAAGTTGGCAATACTGCGCCGAACATCACCATGAACAATGTTCGCGTTAAAGACATTCTTCCCCCCGTGTCATAAGATGGTCAATAGCCATCGGGTATATCGGTACGAGGTTCAAGTGTATCTTTGAACCGTTCTACTTGGCAAATCGTCAACTTCCTTTGCATGGGGTTATTGCCCATCATCATATAAATAGGAACAGCTCAAACCTACCAGTAAACGAACGTCTAACAAATGTGCACTGAGAACCTCTCGAGTAAAATGGCTTTTCTGATTAATTCGTCAACGGATCGCAAATGAGCTACACTCCGGAGACTTTAACGCAGCGGTAGAAAAGCATGGTAACTCTTATAACTGTGATATATGATAAAATAATCCGACATCTTCACTTTTCTACGAGTACTTTTCAAGCAAAGTAGAAGTTGTTTCGTTTTTTGTCTGATTATTTGTAGAACTATGTTACATCACGGTCGTCATTTTTTAAAAAAAAAATAATATTAAAGTTTTGCCCCAACCCCTCTAACATCGAGCTGAATGAATACCATTGGTCTTTTAGTTGATGAATGTTCATAAAATTACATCAGCTCCTCACTTAGAAGTTGAACCAAAGGTTGCCATTACGAGAAGTCTTTCCCTCTTGTTCTAAGGGAAAAAACGACCCTAACTTTTTTCATCTCATATTGTATTCCACTGGTCCATATTTTATCAGTAGAATAAATAATACATTGGTATAGCCCCCCCCCCTTCTGTAACCCCTTATCACATTTATCACGATATATTTTCGGACTTAGACAAGAGGCTAAGAAAACATAATGTCCCATAGTTCCAAGCGATGGTTGGTGTAGTTTAAAATACCACTCATTAAGAAATACCTAAGGGCAGAAGGAAAGGGAATGGAGTCGAGACCGAGAATATTGCCGTGCTGGAGAAAAACGTCGTACGAGCTCTCGAGTTTTACTAAATTTTCTCTAACAAAATACGAGTATCCAGGGAAATTTGTGAATTGTTTCCTTAAACTCTGTTCCAAGAATATTTCTCGCAGAGTCGAATCTAAAGTAATTGTGAGTTTAAGGAAAGAGAGACTAAAACGCCGGAGTAGGAAAGTAGTCGGTTCGGTCAGACGCCAGTTATCACCGTATGAACTTCCGATTTTAACGGAACACTTTGAAACAAGGAATCAGTTTTTCATTGAGACTTGCGTCAGAGATGGTAAGAATATTGTAAGAGACTTAAACGCCGTAGTAAGAAAGTAGTCAGCTCACACAGACCCGAGTTATCACCGTATGGACTTCTGATTTTGACAAAATACGTTGATACCCATAACTTTCCACATAAAAATTAATATTTCGTCGAGAAAAAATTGACAACGTTCGAATGTTCATACTTGGTTCTTCCTCAGCCCTGCAGTATATGTCACCAGTGTTTTTTTAATTAATTTGAGATCCCGTTAGTTTCGTTCAAATATCAAGCGATGCTTTATTCTTCGAGCGTGTATCGGTCCATTGAGTTCATAGAGTCGCCAACTGGGAGAGAAACAAAGAGAACTCCCCGCTCTATGTGAACCGTGTTGACATTATTTTTTGGCCCAGTTTGGCAATGACAAATCAAAACGATCCTCCTCGAAACGAATTGAACGACTTGTAGGTGTCTGAAGCTAGCGGAAAAATTACGGAGCCATTGTTGGTGTCATACTACGGGCCACGGAATATACACACATAGTTAATTGGTAATAACGACGCAGTAGGGAAGCTTCTCACACATTGTTTTAAGCTAATTTTTTCTTCTTACTTTTTCCCTCCTCTCATCCTATTTTATCAGGTCACCGACACTTTGATGGTCTCTTCTTACTTCGTATTCCACTTCAGCACTGTAATACGTAAACATGCGTTAATATGTAGCATACGTCCTTACGTAAATAAACAGGTCAATTTTTCATGATTTCTTGTCATGTAAGTGGACCAACTGATGAGTCACGAGCCTGTCAAGCGTGCATTTGCAGGATATTTTTAGAGAGTGTGGTTTGAATGATCTCCTCGCCATTTATCCGAAAACTGTATTTTTTTTCTTTCTTTTCTTTCCTTTTTCTATTTTAGGTGTTTCAGGTTTTTTGCCCTGTTAGGGCACTGCAACCTTTTATTGGCTGTTATAACCAACCCACGGAGCCTCAGAGGGCGGGAAGCGCCGTCTGGGGGTTAGCCCGCATAGCGGCCAGAGTATGTGCCCCCTCATTTTATTCTACCCAGGAAGGAAAGAACAGGGGCTGTGAGTATTTGAACGAGTTGTTTCAAAAAGGGGACTGCCCATTTCAAGACGAGCCCTAAAACACTAGTGCTAACATATTGTCCAAGGCTTATCTTACAAAAGATATGTTCCCTTTTTTAAACAACTTGTTCAGTTAAGACGCTCATGTTCCCTCAGCGCGCAATAGGACGAGCGTGAAGCTCTAGCCAGCCATTTCACTCTTATCTGATTGTGGTGTCCACCTTCACACACGACAAAAAAGGAAGGATATGGGGGAAGAAATGACAAAGAGAGACCCGAGAAAGGAAAGTCTTGTCGCATTTTCGGGTCATTAGCGCGAGAGCAGAGCACGTTCATGGCAGTCTCCATGCCATGAGGCATTGGTGAACTGCAATGAAAAAAAAGTTTAGGGCTATATAGACATAACGTCCGTTCTAGGCACGGGGGCCGAAATTTCCGGGTGCTGGAGTCGTAGCTTTGACTGTTCCATGTGCTACACCCGAAACTTTCGGTCTCTGAGCCCGAAACGCGGACGGTATGTCTATTCGTATGACCCGTAAGTACGACTTCCACGGCCGAAGTTTTTTTTAAAGTGTAGGATCCGAAAGAGTGTACCAGACCAGGGTAGAGGCCTTCATAAGTATAGAGAGAGTATGGACTTCTATAGGTGTAAAATTCCAAGCACCGGTGGAGGATTGTCGCTCCGATAATATTTCAAAAATGTCGAAGTGAACGAAATAAATTGAGCCCATATGCTTCTTATTCCCTTTTTAGAGAATCAGGGCAATCCAAATACAGAAAGCGGACATTTGGTTCGCGGAAGTGTTCGATCTGATTTCTCGAGGATTTGACTCAAGTTATAAGTCACGAGCTGCTTTTTGATCAATAATTTTGCATGAATTTATAGACTGATTAAATTCCTCATTTGTTGTAATTTTCCTGAAATTTGTCACTTCGGAATCTCAACAGTGGTCTGCCATGGCGTGCTTTGCGGTACATCCATTGATTTGCAGTTTAAATCTATGGAATCGGATCGACAAACAGGGTGTTTGCAATGAACACCTTAATAATCGATTCTGCATCACAGTTTCAAATAGGGAAAAAATCGATATTCGATCATTCACAGCTCGCCCCTGAATCTCAACCGTCACGATTCGTGAAACCATCAATAAAATTTGGACTCACAGCTGCCACTCACAGCACTGAAAAAAGTGCGCACGAAAGAGATATTCGTAATTGATAATAACTGTTTTGAACGACCAGCACTAGTAATATTATTACTGTTGCAAATTAGAAAATTGGAAAAAATAGCATCCACACTTCACACTTTGTCAAATGACTGGAAAACTAATAAGGATATATCTTCGGCATGGCTGAATGTATTACATAACACGAAAAACTTACAGTTCATTAATTCTATGATCAGGCTGGTTTTTCATCCTGTCGCTTCCTTATCGGTGGCTGAAATTACTGCATCTTCCCTGGAACAAAAATCAATTAAATCGTGTTTTTAATAATTGTTATGATATTTTCGATGATGATAATAGGACAAAATATTTCAATGAAACAAGCTAATTTTAATTTTTTCTTATGAATATATTTTCCGATAATTTTTCATCCTTGAAAAAAATAAATAAATTAATGAAAAAAGAGAAGATCTTTATTTAAACAACCTTCAGGCAAGGCTGAACCTTTGTATGAGCCTTATTTATTAGGTTCATTACATTATTACTATTTTGTTTATTTTTATTTTTTTCTGGTGGAAAATTAGTCCCATCCTCTTAGATTCCACGAAAGAAATACATTCATGCAGTTTTTGATTGAAAATTGGGCTGCGATTTCTTCAATGTTGCGTGATCGAAGCATTTTTCTATCATTCTTATACTCCTCATGTTTTTAAACGAAATTCCTTATAAAAAAAGCCTATGAGTCTCTGGGAGTCACACCATGGAGCCAATCAGAAATTTTATATTACAGAGCGTTCGCGTGAGATTATTTTGCTCTTCATAAAATCACCTTAGGTTTGACTTCCTTAGATAAGACGAAAGGCACGAGTGAATGGGAACTCTCATACTGCTCTCTTATTTCGAAAAAATAATGAGGCGCCGAGACAAATGGAACAGTCTAACGTGTTTGCAGAATCGTGCTCACGAGAAAGAATCCATGTTTTTATAGGACAGTTTTGTTTTCTTTTCCTACCCGGTACACATCTGTAGGTTAAGGCTAATGTCAGGCATAGGGGCTCATTCTGACCTCGTTTCGAAATAGCTCATCGCAGCGAAATCAAATTGACGATATTACGTGTCCGTGTCGACCTCTCAAATGAGTGTTCCGTCGCGACAAAGATAAGAGAAAAGAGGCGAAGAAAAGGAGCAACAAGAAGGCGACAAGATGGAGGAATTAGGACAGCACAAAAAATGAGTACTGCTTTCATTGTCGATGTCGTGCCCGAGAATAACCTGCAATAATGATGAAGATATGTAATCGGAATCGCAGCTTCCTCTCCGCTGTGGCCGGCTGTGTTGCTACGCGAGTAACACAGTCGTTCTATCCAGGTGGGACAACTTCAGGTTTTACTTCTATTTCCTTGCGGAAAATCATAAACTTAATCGGACCGGACGGTTCTAAAACACAAAGCGCGACCTCAACGCAATTTTATTGGATTTACCTCCCGAAATATTTCGCCTCAAACCAATACATGGGCAAAATTCAAAATGGAAAAACCCATATGCAAGAAAAATAAAATCAGAGCCCAGAAAGAAGTAGAAATAAAAACTTATATTTCAGAAATAGTCGCTCAATTTTTAATGCTTGCCAGGGACTCCATGCAAATAATTAGGTACAACAAAAATGACGTTCAGGAAACGGTCACATAGGGTTTTAGGCTTTTTCATGAAGAGAATGTTAATATCCATCCCATAAAATTTTGTGTGAAAAATTACTACACGTGCAGAACTTAGAAATTCTGACTGACTTTGAGGGCTTAATTGACCTTCGGTGGCCATTTATTATGTGACATCATTATCAGAATCACCTTTAAGGAAGAAACAAGCTGATCTAGCTGACACAGTATGTTAAAAATGTGTGCTTTTACGTTTAAGGAAGTAGCATTGCACTTGAAAGGGTGATGAGCTTGATAAGGTACATGGTATCATCCAATACATTAATTATTCTTCAGAAGCTGAAACATGAAAGTCAAGAGATCAAAAGGCGCAGAGAGTGGGAAATTTTGTTTTTTGCGGGCAAAAAAGGCTCAAAACGTAATAAGGACCTCAAACTTCATATAACCCCCACCGAAACAAAATAAGGAAATATATCATAGTCTCTAAATGTTCAAATAGCATTTATGTCCGATGTGTGTAAGTTACTTGTAGAAATCGTCCTCCGGTAATTCTAATTTTTATTAATTCTAATTAATTTCAGAGATTCCTCCGGAATCTCTCTGGAATTCCTAAAAGATACCTCCGGATCACAATAATTTTGAGGAACTAATTAACCTCTAATTTTGCTCGTGCAAATGCCATTAGTTTCATAGAATCCGGCGAAGGGTGATTCACATCAACATATCAAAAGGAACAATTCGTGCGTTGTTATGCAGCGCGCATTAAGGGGCAGCTTTTTGTCACGAGAGGAGTTTGAAAAGTAAAGCTCTGCTAATACATGAAATCGACTTCTAGTACCTCAAACGACCAAAGTTTATGGACCAGAAACCCCAGTCATTAATTTTTTCGAAAGTTCTGCCAACAAGCTCAACAATCAAATTCCATTTTCGTGACATTGGTACTGTTCATTTTTTACGAGGATTTTTTTCCCCTTTCTCTTTTATCCACAGATGAATTTGACCAAACAGGCAGGTAATAAAGCTACTCGATGTCCTGGTCAACACTTTTGCCAACGGATCGGCGGATCAGCAGATCAGCGGGCCCATTTAATGAAGTGGACTACTTTTCGTGAGCTCTTGTCACGCGCCAAACCATCAGTCGCATTGCGGGCGCAAAACGCAGGACGCAGGGCGCGAGGCAGCTATGTTGCCGACACTCGTCGAAAGAAACGGAGTCATTTCAAGCGCAGAATTACTAAATGACTTAAAATCATACCGCGAATTTTGGCAACGTCGGGGCCATTTTCAATGGGATTACCATCCAATGAAGCGCGCAAAGTGAGGGAAATTCGTTTCGCGGGCCCGCAAGTTTAACGATCCCGCAGCTAATGGAAAAAATGATCGTCAAATAAAAAGCCGTACAGCGGGCGACCGCGTCCGTAAAGCCATTTGAAATCAATTGGTGTCTAGCACAGCAGAATGCGGAGCTCGTCCTCAATGTACACTTTCGGTTGGGCCTCGGACGTACGCATTAAAATTTATTGCTCCGCGTTTGACTTTTTGCTCTGGATGCTTTAAATACTGCGTATGGTCCACGTTCGATGTCTCATGAATCAAACGTAACTACTGCTTAATTTGAGTCAATTCTGTCAAAAAGATAGAAACTCTACATGAATTTCGGAATTCGCCACATTTCTCTGGATGTAAGTGGCACCAATTTTATGGAGGATTTTACGAATTTCTCCGGATGCATTTTTCAGGGTATATTACTCAGAATTCAATCTGCAGCTGGACATTTCAAGGACGAATATTTTTTTTACTTTTCTCTTAAAAATAATATTTTATCGGAGAAAATTCAGCAAAATTTGAATGGTCATGCAACGTTCCTCCTCAACGAGCTGATAGACAGCGCGATAGACAAAGGGAAAATGAAGCAATCCTATCGTGAGGTTCTTTATGAGGTAGCGTGCCTCACGTAAAATCGATTATTCTAGATTAATTTAAATGGGCGATGGCCGAAGCACCCAATCTCAGTCGTATTTTGTTTGAAACAACATATTTTTTCTGTTTTTTTTCCTTGTTTCTTTTGCGTGATTCTTAACAACCAATGAGAAAGCGAATTTCAATTTTAGGTTGGAAAATAGTGTTATGTCTTGGATAACAACATTAAAACGACCTGCCTCTGAACATGTTGCAGTTGTTGTGCAACAATGTTGCTGTAAGGGTTCCTAAATTTTGCCCGCGAAAATAAGCCCCGCCCCCACAACACTAAACATTTTCGAACAAAATGCGATTGTTGCTTGTTTTCCTAACATGTTGCGAGTGTTGCCTCCGAACAAAATACGACTCTCCCAGAATAGCCACTGGCCATCGAGTCATGTAACGACACATTTTTCAGCAAAAACACGTGGCAATTTTAGATTTTTGATCCATACTTTGCCCATCCACTTCCACCGAAGAAGATTTCATTGACTCCGCGATTTACAACTGCTGTAATAAAAAAGAGCAGAAAGTGCTCGCCGAATGACTTTGACCCCGCGTCAATTACGCAAAAGATAATCACTCGGTGACGGCCTCTTTCGTGGGTAATCGTTCGATTTCATCAGGAATGAAGAAATTTATCTTCGTTACTACGAGGAGCGTAAAGCTTATTCAATTAGAGCGATGGAGTGTCGAGTGGGAATTGCGACAAATTTCATCGTCGTTCAGGAGTTTAATCGGTAACTCCCGGTCTACATGACAGACCACGATCTGGATTACCCTTCAGATGAACACGGTCGTCTTTGTAACATTTTTCAAGTACATGCTAATCAGAAAAAAATTATATTCGTTAAAAATCATCGGATTTTTTTTTGAAGTTTTGAACGATTAAGTGTTTTTCGAATTCATATCCTGGGACAGTGAGGTATGGTGGGACTTGAGGCTCTTGACCCCTCTCTTTAGCCTCGTTAATTGAACCCTTTTTTTACTTTTGGAGGGCAGAATTAAAATATTATCAGGGACGTTCACGAAATAATGTAAATTTACCGCCACGGACCTCTCCCCCCCCCCTTTAAAGAATCTCTAGCTACGCCACTGTCTTGGGAGTTTTTATCACGAATTCCTCACACCATCATTTTTGTATGTATATATATATATATATATATAAAGTCGCTTAATAACGCACTCTGGCGTCCTACGACACCCAAACGCCACATATGCCTGTCTTCCCAGAGGTTATCGGGCAACTGACACCGCAACATCTCTTCGTCAACGCCCTGCCGCCAACCCTTTACGGGACGTCCCCGTCGCCTCTTCCCAGGTGGTACCCAATCCAAAACTTGTTTGGGAAACCTCTCCTCCGACATTCTTTGCACATGTCCATACCAGCATAACTGCCTGGACATGACGTCGTGCAATCAACATCGTGCATCATTTTTGTACGGATCCTAAAGGCTCCATGAACTGGAAAAAATGGCACAACCAATCAGTAACCGGCAAAGTCTCCCTGTGCTGCAAGGAATGAGTTGACGATGCTCCCATTGCTCTCCTTAAATGGGCACTCTAACATATTATGTACATTTACTCGAGCCGCCCAATGTTCAGCAATCTAAATTCTAGAAGTAACTCGTTCGTCTCACTAGGACTACCGAAAACGGCTTCGTAAGTTTGTAAAAATTC